ATGATGCTCATTAGTTTTTCATAGTCCCATTTGAGCAGGTTCTTCTTCATGTAGAGCTTATCTATTCCGGTAGCATCTGGCCGGCAGTAGGTGTCCACAAATGTCTCTACAGAGACTTCAACTGACTCCAGATCGATGAGAGTGGGAGTATCTTCATCTTGTGAGTCGAGTTCGATGTTGAAGAACTCGTTGAGGGCTTTTCCCTTGCACCTGAGAATGAATGGCGTCGTCGGTGATGTGGGCGTTGAGGTAGAATTCAGCCACATCAAGGATACTGAACTGCTCATAAGGATGAGCCACAATCTTCGTTAGCTGGGAATCATTCATTCCTGCAATGACCGCCTTCATTGTTTTCTGGTTTTCAGCCAACAATGGTAGTGAGGACATGTCAACCTTCATCCCAGTGGCAATGTTAGCCACAAGCGCCTTGGCTTCAGCTTCTGAAAGATCGGTGATTTTGATGAACTTCATTTTTGAGGTAGAAGAGATTTGAGAAAATCTGAAGGTATGAACTTTTAGAGAGATGAAGCTTGAAGATGAAGAGTAAAAATTGCAGTAGCGTTATATGTTTTCAGAATGGGTATATATGAATTTGGGTTAGTGGACGTTTGGTATAATTTGGGGTTTCGAGGTCGCATTTAATGGATTGTGTGCGGATAGCCGTTTCCGATTATGGAAATAACTACCGGGGGTAGAAAAGTAACTTCCGAAACATAGAGTGTACTCGTCCAAATTTTAGAAGATTTTCTAAGTCCACAGCCACTCTGATGAAAAGACGTTCCAGGTATCAGAGAAAGGGTATTCTGATACAGGGTCCTCTGATGAGTAAGAGTTCTGGTATCAGAGGTGAGGTGTACTGATGAATCCACATCTGATGCTTCTGCAACTCTGATTCAAGCATCTCTGGGAAGATCATCCATCATTCCCAGTTCTTCTCTCAACTTGTTAAACCTCGCCTCAGAGAGAGGTTTGGTTAGGATATCTGCAAGCTGATCTTCAGTTGGAACATGCTCAATTGAGATGTGCTTCTTCTCCACATGATCTCTGATGAAGTGATGTCTGATCTCAATGTGCTTTGTTCTTGAATGCAGCACAGGATTCTGAGTGATTGCAATGGCACTGGTATTGTCACACAACAACCTGATCTCCTTTGCTTGCACTCCATAATCCTTGAGTTGTTGCTTCATCCAGAGTAATTGAGCACAGCAGCTTCCAGCAGCAATATACTCAGCTTCAGCACTACTTGTTGAGATGGAGTTCTGCTTCTTGCTAAACCAGGAGACAAGTCTCCCACCTAGCAATTGGCAGTGACCAGAGGTGCTTTTCCTGTCTAATCTGCAACCTGCAAAATCTGAGTCAGAGTAACCAATTAGTTCAAAGTTACCTCTCTTGGGATACCATAGTCCTGCATTTGGATTTCCTTTGATATATCTGATGATCTTCTTAGCAGCAACCAAATGGCTTTCCTTGGGCTTTTGATTGGTATCTGGCACAGATTCCTACAGCAAATGCTATGTCTGGTCTGCTTGCAGTCAGATAGAGGAGAGATCCAATGATTCCTCTATAAGTTGTTGCATCAACATCTTTTCCTTCATCATCTGGTCCAATCCCTTGAGATGCATTCATGGGAATCTTGACTGAAGATTTTCTATCAATTCTAAACTTCTTGATTAAGTCTCTGGTGTACTTCCCTTGGTTGATAAAGATGCCTTCTGGAACTTGTTTAACTTGTAAACCAAGAAAGTAACTGAGTTCTCCCATCATGCTCATCTCAAACTTCTTCTGCATAACTTTAGAAAACTTCTTGCATAATTCTGGATAGTGCTTCCAAATATAATATCATCAACATAAATTTGCACTAATAGAATATGATTAGCAACAGAAATTTGAAATAGAGTCTTGTCAACCTTTCCTTTAGTAAACCCATGATTTACTAGGAATAGGGACAATGTGTCATACCAAGCTCTGGGAGCTTGCTTAAGACCATAAAGGGCCTTTCTGAGCTTGTAGACACACGAAGATTGAGTAGGAATGACAAAACCTGGAGGTTGTTCTACATAAACTTCCTCTTCTAGTTCTCCATTCAGGAATGCACTTTTGACATCCATCTGGTAGACCTTGATGTCATTGTAGGCAGCATAGGCAAGGAAGATTCTGATTGCTTCTAGTCTTGCAACAGGTGCAAAGGTCTCATCAAAATCTATGTCTTCTTCTTGACAGTATCCCTTTGCTACAAGCCTTGCTTTATTCCTTACAATGTTGCCTTCTTCATCAGCTTTGTTCTTGAACACCCATTTGGTTCCAATGACGTTCTGATGCTTTGGTCTAGGAACAAGTTCCCACACCTGATTCCTTTCAAACTGTGTGAGCTCTTCTTGCATTGCATTGATCCAATCTGAATCCTCTAGAGCTTCTTCTACATTCATTGGTTCCATTTGAGAAATGCAGCAGGTGAACATGGCTTCTCTTCTAGATGCAGATCTGGTCCTTATTCCACTAGTAACTTGACCAATCACTTGATCAGGAGGATGATCTCTTAACCAAGTTAGGTCAGGTTCTGATAGTTGTTGTCTAGGCAACTCTGATGATCCATCTTCTGATTCTTCAACTTCATCTTCATCTTTGTCTATCAGAATTGGATTAGCAGGAGGAGTTGAGAATACAGGATTGATAGTGATCTCTTCTGATGGTTCTGAAATCTTATCTTCAAGATTGATTTTCTGCAGGGTTTCTGATAGTTCTTCTGCAGAGGTGCTATCATCAAACTTGACATGAATGGATTCTTCAACTTGTATAGTTCTCCTGTTAAGTATTCTATAGGCTTTGCTTGAACTTGAGTAGCCTAGGAATACACCTTCATCAGCTTTTTCTTGAAATACTTTCAGATTCTCTTTTCCATTGTTTAGAATATAGCACTTGCATCCAAACACATGGAAGTAGCTGATGTTTGGCTTTCTTCCTTTCCACAGCTCGTAGGGGGTCTTCTGATGATTCTTGTGGATCATGCTTCTATTCTGAGTGTAGCATGCAGTGTTGATTGCTTCAGCCCAGTATCTGATGGGCAATCCTGATTCAGCAATCATTGTTCTTGCAGCTTCCTTCAGTGTTCTGTTCCTTCTTTCTGCAACACCATTTTGTTGGGGTGTTCTGGCAGCAGAGAGTTGATGAAATGTCCCATTCTGATCACAGAAGTCTCTGATCACTTTGTTGACAAATTCAGTTCCTCTGTCAGATCTGATTGTCCTGACCTTCATGTTCTTCTCAGTCTGAAGTTGCTTTAACAGAGATGGCAACTTCTGAAGAGTTTCATTTTTCTTTGTTAGGAACACAGTCCAAGTATATCTTGAATAATCATCAACCATAACAAGGGTATATCTTTTTCCACCAACACTGGGAGTTTCAACTGGTCCAAATAAATCCATGTGGATCAGATTTAGAGGACTAGTAGAAAGATCTCCAGCTATGGGTTTGAATGAGGTCTTCACTTGTTTGCCCTTCTGACAAGCACTGCAGAGGGTCTCCTTCTTGTAGACTATGTCTGGTAGACCATCTACAATGTGTTCTCTTGCTAGTTTATTGATAGTTTTGAAATTCAGATGGCTAAGCTTTTTGTGCCAGTCCCAGCTTAGCTTTGAATTATCTTTGACTATCAAACATGTATCATCTTTTGCTGTTTGCCAGTCAACAACATAGATGTTCTTTCTCCTTTTTGCTGTAAGAACCACTTTTTTTGTTGTCTCATGCTTGACATATCATAAGGTCTTGGTGAATTCAACTGTGTAGCCTTTGTCACAGAATTGGCTAGCACTCAGCAGGTTGAACTTCAGGCCTTTGACATAAGAGACATCATCAATGCTTATCTGGTTCTTGATCAGCTTCCCTCTTCCCTTTGTTTGACCATCCTTGTCATTTCCTCCAAAAGTGACTCGGGGTCCATTGTATTTCTGGAACTCTGATAGGCAACTCTTGTCACCTGTCATGTGCCTGGAGCATCCACAATCAATAAACCATTCTTGCTCTGAGATAGCTCCAGCACACAGTTCCTGCAAAATTAAAAGGAAGATTTAGGTACCCAAGCAATGTTGGGTCCTGGGGGGTAATGTAGTCTTGGTAGTTGGTACCATTTTGGTCTCATCAACTGAAACCTTGGTGGATGGTACCCATTGTCCACCTGGTAGTCATAGTAAACAGATGTATGATTCACTTTGGGCAGATGCTTGTGAGGATCATGCTTTCTGTTTGCATACTTTTGCATAGCCTTCTTTGTTGGAAAGAAGTCCCATATACTATCAAGATCAGAGGAGTGCTTAACTTTAGGCTTCTGAGGTTGACCAGACAACCTCTTTTGTCTATAGTTAATTTTCTCTTGATATTTGCCTCTCTGATAGTGATCTCTGATACGGTTATCATGAGGATGTCTGATGGATTTTGGCCTTGGAATTTTATTGTTCTGAAAACTTTTATTGTGGTTAGTTTTTTCTGCCAGATTCATTAGTTTTTAAAATTTGTTTTGGTTTGGCCTTTAGTTTTTGGTTCTCTGGTGGGACTTTCTCATGAACAACCTTAGTACCAGAGGTACTAGCATGGCAGATGGGGCTACAAGTCTGTGAAACTATGACCTTTTTGGCTTTAGCAACTTGGGTGCTAGGCGTTACAGAAGGTTCATCAGACTTGGGTTCAACATATCCAAGACCAGAGGTGAGATTATGAGTATCATCAATACTCTTTATTGAAGATTGCATCTTCAAAAGACTATCATATCTGATTTCAAGATTCTCAATTTCTCTTATTCTTTTTAGAAGAGACTCATTTTCAACTTCCAGTTTGTCTCTTTCCTTAATTAAGAGATTAAGTTTGCACTCAGTCTCTTTTCTTAAGTCAGAGATTTCTAACTTTAGTTTACTGTTCTCCTCTTTAACCAAAGAATAAGTATCTTGGATAATTTTGAACTCTTCCCAAAATGATGACATTGGATCATCATTTAAGGCTGTGCCTACCGAAGACGAAATAGAATCAGCAGTTGAATATACCTCATCATCAGATTGAGCCATGAGACAAAGATCTTCGGTCTCTGTATCTAAGCAGCAGAAAGCTTCATCAGAGTCAGAATCTGAGCTGGACTCTGATTCAGAGAGTGGATCTCTCTCAACTTGTTCTGAGACGAATGCCCTTCGTCTCCTGTGTTGATCTTCAGGTTTCTTTTCTTCTTCATGTCCTTGCTTCTTGGACACTCTAGGGAAAGGGCAGTTAGCCTTGAAGTGACCAGGCTGTCTGCAGTTGCAGCAGAGGTACTCTCCATTGCTTTCTGAAGATTTGGTCTTCTGATGAGGTCTTCTGATGGAAGATGGACTCCTTCCATCTTTCTTCATAAATTTTCTGAACTTCCTGGCAAAAGCAGCCATATATTCGTCAGATAAAAGGGTAGAAGGGTCAAAATTGTTTACCTTAGAAGTACTGGCTGTGAGAGCAGTGGTGGTCCTCTCATCAGGGACTTCTTCCTTCTCATCATGCATCTCAAACTCATACGCTTTGAGATCAGAGATCAGCTTCTCTGTAGGATAGGTTTTGATGTTCTTGCTCTCTTGGACGGCAACAACCTTCATCTTCCAGACTGGGGGCAGTCCTCTGAGAATCTTCAGATTAACTTCTTTAACTGTGAGCTCCTTCCCAAGCTCAGAGATTTCACTGGTAAGGATCAGCAGTCTGGCATGCATCTCAGCTATGCATTCATCAGGTAAAAGTTTGAAGTCATCAAACTTCTTCATAGCTATTGTCAGCTTATTGTCTCTTTCTTGTTCATCACCAGCTCCTATGAGATCAAGTTTGTCCCATATTTCTTTGGCAGTCCGACACTTCTTGATTCTGTTGAAGTATCTGTTATCAATGGCTTTGTAGAGGATATCTTTGGCAATATTGTCAAGATTGTATTGTCTCCTCTCTTCCTTTGTCCATTCTGATCTGGCTTTCTCAATCATCTCGGGTTGAGATTTGTCAGTAGTATGCTCAGTATTCACCTTCATGAATTTGGTGAAGGGTCCTTCTTCAAGAACTTCCCACATTTCATCATGAAGTGCACAGAGGTGTGCTTTCATCCGGATCTTCCAGTCATCATACTTTTGATCTGAAAACATGAGGTGCTTTGCAAGAGAGTTATCCATAATAACAAGTAAAGAGGCTAGAATTAAGTGGATCTTTGTTCAAAGAGTAACCTAAAAGATTACAAGAACAAGGAGGCTCTGATACCACTTGTTGGTCCCGTTTGAGTTGGTAATCAGTCTAGAGGGGGGGGGGGGGGGGGTGAATAGACTGATTCAAGTTTTTCAACTTTTCTCTAAGTCAGAGTTGACTTGTCAGAGATGGTCGAGTTCTGATGATCAGAACTGGTCTTGCAGCGTATAAGAGTTCCGGGTAGCCTCAGCCAAATACAAAGGCAAGTGCCTTTCTGATAACTCTGAAAACAAGATCTGCTGAACACAGATTCCAAGTCTTAGAGTTAATCAGTTTAGTCCTAAGTGCAGAAATTAAAGTGCAGTAAAGTAAATGACACCGGGGTTTTTATAATGGTTCAAGGAACAACGCGTTCCTCTAGTCCACTGTTCCACTAGCTTTGAAGTAAACAGTTACAAAGCGTAGTCCCTTGATGGTCCCTGATAGAGGTAAAAGTCTAGAGGGGGGGGTGAATAGACTTTTAAAGTCCTTTCCTATTTTTAAAGAGTTTCCCTCATAGGTATGATGATCTATAATCTTTTGAGAGATTTAGGATCGCAGCGGAAGTTATGACCTCTTTTTGACTGTGAATGGTAACTTTCTTATGAGAGGATAAGAGGGAAGGGGTATTTGCATTTAGGACAACTTATCTTTAGTGACTGAAGTGAATAGGAGAATGGAGACTCTGCTTTGAAGATCTTTCAGTGAGATCCTCTGATGGCCTTGAATCAGAGATCCTTGAGTGAGGTCCTCTGGTAACCTTGAGTCAGAGACCCTTGGGTGAGGTCCTCTGATGATCTTGAATCAGAGACTCTTGTGTGAGGTCCTCTGATGATCTTGAATCAGAGACTCTTGAGTGAGGTACTCTGATGATCTTTAGTCAGAGACTCTTGTGTGAGGTCCTCTGATGATCTTGAATCAGAGACTCTTGAGTGAGGTACTCTGATGATCTTTAGTCAGAGACTCTTGTGTGAGGTCCTCTGATGATCTTGAATCAGAGTAAATAAGATTGACACGAGATGTATCCTGGTTCAGAGGTGGTGTAATCCTCCTACATCCAGTCCCATCCTCTTTCAGATGGATTTCCACTAAAGTATTCAGCCCAATACAATTAGTGACCGTCTGGCTGTTATCACCAACTTGCTCAGACTTCAAGATGTTTCACTGAGAGTACACACCACTCCTAGTTACTCAATCCTTTAGGTTTTTCTCGATTGATCCAGTGGGGATCAAAAGGTACTCTGTCCTATTCTACCACACTTAAGGACTTAGTCGATGCTATCCTTAGAAGTGTTTACAACAGTTTTAATATGAAACAAACTTCTAGCCTCCAACTAAAAACTAAACTTTCTGAGTGTATCAATGAGGATTTCTTTTCTAGAAGGTTTAGTGAAGCATGAGTCTAAGCAGAGAGCAGAATGTAATGAGCCCTTTCTCTTTTTGCTAGATATCTTCTTTGTGTAGTATGATTTCTCTGCTTAGTGAACTCAGGAGCTTCTTTTTCTTCTCATGCTTATGCCCGAATTTATAGGCATCTCTGGTTGATTAATCTCCTCCGTTGGTTGAGAGGATTTAATCTATTTCGTTGAGGCTTCTTGTACTTTCGTCTTCTTCTGTTGGAGCAGCTTATCTTCAGACGCAATTGGAGCAACTTGCTTTGCAGGAAATGTAAACCCATTCTTTAGACCTTTTGCGCACTATTCACCATCTAGTGGGATTTTGTCTTCACAGGCAACTCTGGAGTGTCTCGTGATTATACAGCTCTTTAAGTAAAATTTGTGACTCTGGTTCTTGTGTACAAAATTAATTTGTACTGGTAGGATTTAAATATCCTTTTTAAGGTAAAGAAGAATTTACCTTATTGCATTTTATATTTCCAGTAAAATTAATTTTGTACATAAGATGTACATGTAAGATTAGTCACAATTTTACTAGTGACAATAATAAAATTGTAACCCAAAAATAAATATACTGATTGGATTTGAATATCCTGGAAAGGTAGGAATTTACCTTATTGCATTTTATATTTCCAGTATATTTATTTTGTGACACAATTTATATATTCCTAATTTTGTCACCTTCCTTCCTTTTTGGACCATACTTCAGTTCACACAATGATCATTCAATATCGAATAGAGAATTTAAACATCAAGGGAGGATGGCATCATCAAAACTATATTTCATCAAAAGTCTGAGGGGCCTAACAATTTCCCCCTTTTTGATGATGCCAAAATAAAAACTAGATTCTGAATACATAAAACAAAGATAAACTAGATTCTATTTTCCCCCTTTTTGGCAGCAGCTCAAACCTAGATTAGTTCTGTCTCCTAGATGATTCTCCTTCATCCAGTTTTCTTTTTCTTCGATTTCTTTTGAGTTGGTCTAATTTTTGGTTGTAGACCTTCTCAATGAGTTCCTGGGAAAGGGCTTCTTCTATGGAGCTTGCTCCCAACCATTGGAGAGCAAATTCTTCTTCTTTTGGGATGAGGGGTGCCATAAGAAGAAGTTGGTCGATTGGAGCGTGTCTCCAATACCTCCACTTTAGGACTCTCTTTCTTTCTTGGTCGAGAGAATCCTTGTCAGTGGTGTATATTATCCATGACTCTAGGTCACTGATGAATTTATCAGGAGCATTTGGGGGGCCTAAGGAGAGATTTAGGTTGAGTCTGTGATGTGCCATTAGAGTGTTTTGGCTTAAGGTGTGTTTGAAGAGGATCTTTTAGTAGGGATGGTTTCAAAAGATGCTTGTTTATTTGAGGATTAACCTGGATATTTATACTTGCATGCATCGTTTGGGATTCTTGGTTGAGAAATCAAGGCGTATTAATGGAATTACGGCTTGATGTTCTTTTCAAGAATAAAATCAGCATAGATAAAAGAGAAAAATTGGTTGGAGGAGCTTACCAATTTAATGATGTTGCTTCCCAAGATTTTCTTGAATCACCATGTGTCGTAGTTGCATGCATGCGTAGATTCCTGACTCCTTTTGTTAAAGTGATTCTACCTCTGGGCTCTGGTTGAGGTAGTCGTCTGTTGTAGTTTAAGAGATTGTCTGTGATGTCTTCTCCGTTGGTTAGGTCCGAGACCTTCTGATAGTTTTTGAGATTTCTGATCTGAGGTCTTCTGATAGTATTCAAGCCTTCTGATCTGGGGTCTTCTGATAGTTATTCAGACCTTCTGATCTGTGGTCTTCTGATAGACAGGCTTTCTGATCTGAGGTCTTCTGATATACAGGCTTTCTGATCTGAGGTCTTCTGATAGTATTCAGACTTTCTGATCTGGGGTCTTCTGATAGACAGACTGTCACGCCCCGGACCGACCCCGGTAGCGTCAACAACCGCCGCACAACCCTACAAGAGTACTCTTCTTAGTCCTCTCGTCAGGTCATGCAAGGCATTCAATGTCATCACACTAAGTAATTCCATATAAAAGAAGAATATAATAATTATTGAGTAAATGTTCAGTGATACAACGGTAAATTAAATGATAAAAGTTTGGTAAAATCAAATGACATTTTGGCACGCAGGCCCAAAGTAGAATTTTATGATGAAGAGAAATCTCATGAGCAACTAACAAAATAAAATATGATTCTCAAGCCTCAGGCGAATCCAAAGGAGAGATAGGACCCAAGATGTCTTCAAAGTTTCCTTGACCTACAAATCTGTGAGGGGTCAGTTTGTGAAACTGCCAAGATCCTCCTACTTAGTATTTACACCATCTCACAGAAGGGTTTGGTAAAAATATTTTAGTCATATCATAAGTCATAAACAATCAACCACATAGCCTATTCAAGATAACTATGTAAAATACTTGACATTTATGCTAATTGTATTTATAGGAAAAATATTTCACATAACAATATCCAACTCTACCGCATCAATATGCCTAGCAAGGCAAAACGTAATAGGGACTTATTGATCGGTTGAGTAAAGACGCGCACATTCCCGGAAAATGACTTATCCGCTAGGCTTGTCCATCCCGACAAGGTTACTAAGACCCCAACACCATCGGCCCAAGTCATAGTCCGATTCTAAAATACTTGAGAAGTCAACTTGTCCGCTCGGCTTGTCCATCCCGACAAGGTTACTAAGACCCCAACACCATCGGCTCAAAGTCACATCTCAAAACCACGACGTCGTTTTCCAACTCGTACATGGGAGCAATTGAATCCAAATGTACGGTCACTTAATATCCACCCCGCTGTACTCAAAATTTGGAGTATCGATAGGTTCCTATATATTCTACACCCTAGTAGAATAATGTTCTTATGCTAATATTCTAGCACATAACAACTTCATCACATAGGCAAGTATCCAACTAAGCCAGCATGTATAACTTTACAGAACTTTTCTAAATCTCATGACTTCTAAAGTCAAACCTACTACTCCTAGCTAGGAAATATACTAAATATTTAATAGCTACCAAATACTTTCCTTAACGGGTTTTATACATATATTTAATTATAAAATCTATTATGTAGATTTTATAGTATTTAAATCAATATCTCAACCATTAATAACTCTATCATATTCACAGAATTATTCTAAAAAGTACTTTCACATAAATACTATGTATCACAATCATACCTTTGTAATTAAAATACGTAATTTTCGTAAATAATTATTTAGATATTAAAACAATCCAACTAATCAAATCGTATGCATACTAAGCGGAAACTTTTTAAACCTCACCTCGGATTATTGTGAAAGTGGTAACCGATCCGAGTTAATGGTGTATGTGAGTTGATCGCCCCTTCTCACTCAGGTTATTCTCCGCCACAATCTCCTCCGAAGCATGGAACCATTATTCCTGTTGTTCCTCTTAATATATACGGAGTATATAGTTGTAAACCTAGCCTGGGTATGTAGTCCGGAGATGACAACAGTTGATGATCAGGATGGGGGATTTCTCTTCCCGGAACAGTCAAGATCACATGAAGTATCTGACATTCCTCTTCTCTCCGGCATCGTTCCTTGGTTGTGAAGAGTGACGGCGGTGACCTCTCCAGCAGCTTTCTCCGGTGAAAGTGATTGAACCAAAGTTTACACCGGCGTTCTATTCCTTTTCCTTTTCCTAATTTTTTTCTTTGGTTCTACGTCAACTATATAGGGTATATATGTCTTCTCCAGCTATTCTCTTCCTTGAAGAATTTTATATGCTTTCTCCCTTTTTTTTTTATTCTTAGGAAAGAGAGGAAAATATCTAAGAACTTTCAGAAGTATTCCGTAATACGTGTATAGAAGTTCCTATATATATACGTGAAGTGGGTTTCCTTTTATTTTATTTTATTTTATTTATGAGCTTTAGCCAATACTCAAAATATGTGTGGTATGTAAAAGTTTAGATAAGCCTTTATAGTACATACATATGCTGGCCATGTTTGTAGGTTCCCATATTAATAATAGTCTCTCACCGTCGGTAGCAAAGTTACAAAAAGAATTGAATGATTAAATTTTTCAAATGGTCCAATATCATAACAAAAAATTTAAATATACTAATAAGATGTGATATGAACATACGGATAATTATACACATGGGCATGATTATCGAATGACTCCTTTTTATTTATATCACTACTATCTTTTATGATTATTGGCAAGCAAGAGATTTGAGGTGGGACCTCTTACATATACTTTGTATAATTCTGGATCCTTTCACTACGTTGTTTCAAAATGAGGTGAGTTCCCTATTATTAGAAGAAAAGTGAAATACATGGCGTAGGAATTTCAAAGCTATTAACCGAACTATTTTTTTTTTCGTGTCGGTGGTCACAACTCACAAAGCAAATAATACGTAGTATATGCCAACATAAATTGAGTATTTAACTGTGATCTATCTGGTATAATCAAAGACGATTAAAAAATTTGGGATAACCCGTCGTTAAAATTGCTAGTATCAAATAAATTAAAGGCGCTATCCATCTTAAAATGTATAAATGAAAATTTTAAATTTATGTTCAAAATATACGTTATTCGGGTGCGGTATTACACAGACTTTCTGATCTGAGGTCTTCTGATAGACAGGCTTTCTGATCTGAGGGCTTCTGATAGTATTCAGACCTTCTGATCTGGGGTCTTCTGATAGACAGTTGAGACCTTCTGTATAAGGACCATAGAGCTCATAGAGCTTCATTCCCTTGTCTTTGTGTGCTCCAACTTCTTTGATGCTCATTTTGTTAGATGCTTGAGTACATTTTCCCTTTGAGTTGATGTTTTTGGTAATTCCCCCTTATAATTGAGTTCTTTGAGTGGAATTCCCCCTGAGTTGTTGCAGACTTTATTCTCTACTTTGATCCAGATCATCAAGCATCCCTAGGTCTTGTCTTAGAGAATTAAACCTGCCTTCATTTAAGGGTTTGGTGAAGATGTCAGCTAGCTGCTTTTCTGTGGGGATGTACTCCAATCTAATGGTTTTCTTCTCAACATGTTCTCTGATGAAATGGTGTCTGATCTCAATATGCTTGGTTCTTGAGTGAAAGACTGGATTATGAGTTATTGCAATAGCACTTGTGTTGTCACACAGAATGCTGACCTCCTTTGTTTCTTCTCCATAATCCTTTAATTGCTGCTTCATCCATAGTATTTGTGCACAGCAGCTGCCTGCTGCTATGTATTCTGCTTCAGCAGTGCTTGTGGCAATTGAGTGTTGTTTCTTACTGAACCAAGAAACAAGTCTTCCTCCAATCATTTGACAAGTTCCAGAGGTGCTTTTTCTGTCAATTTTGCACCCAGCAAAGTCTGAGTCTGAATATCCATATAGATCAAAATTTCCATTTGTTGGATACCATAATCCAGAGTTAGGATTTCCTTTTAGATATCGTAGGATTTTCTTTGCTGCAAGAAGATGGCTTTCTTTGGGTTTTGATTGAAATCTTGCACATACCCCAACTGAGTAGGAGATATCTGGCCTACTAGTTGTAAGATATAGCAGAGAGCCAATCAGACCTCTATAGAGTGTAGGATCAGTGTCTTTGCCATCTTCATCTGGAGTCAGTCCTTGAGAGGTGTTCATGGGGATCTTTACAGTAGACTTGTTCTCAATTTTGAATTTCTTCATGAGATCTCTTGTGTACTTTGCTTGGTTGATGAAGATACCTTGTGGAGTCTGCTTCACTTGTAGTCCTAGGAAATAGTTCAACTCTCCCATCATGCTCATTTCAAACTTGTTTTGCATGAGAGTTGAAAATTTCTTACATAATGCCTGATTTGAGCTTCCAAAGATTATGTCATCCACATAAATTTGGACAAGCAGTATGTGTGGTCCTTCTTCACTTTTGAAGAGAGTTTTATCTACTTTGCCTTTAGTGAAACCGTTGTTCACTAAATATTGAGAGAGAGTGTCATACCATGCTCTTGGAGCTTGTTTAAGTCCATAGAGGGCCTTCTTTAGTTTGAATACTTGATCTTTCTCTCTGTTGATTTCAAATCCAGGAGGTTGCTCCACATAGACCTCCTCTTCTAGTAGACCATTTAGGAAGGCACTTTTCACATCCATTTGATAGACTGTGAATTGCTTGTAGGCAGCATAAGCAAGGAATATTCTTATTGCTTCAAGTCTTGCAACAGGAGCAAAAGTTTCATCAAAGTCTATTCCTTCTTCTTGACAGTAGCCTTTGGCTACTAGTCTGGCTTTGTTTTTTATGATTGTGCCTTCCTCATTCATTTTGTTTCTGAATACCCATTTAGTTCCTATCACATGTTGATGATAGGGTCTGGGTACAAGTTGCCATACTTCATTTCGTTCAAATTGGTTGAGTTCTTCTTGCATGGCTAGTATCCAGTCTGAGTCTGAGAGGGCTTCTTCAATTTTCTTGGGTTCAGTTTGTGAGATGAAGCAAGAGAACATAGCTTCTTTCTGGAATGATGATCTAGTTCGAACCCCTTCATGGATGTTTCCTATGATTTGTTGAGGAGGATGTTGATTTGTCCATCTGATGTCAGAGGTTCTGTTGACTTGAGTTTGTTGCTCATCCTCCTCTTCTTCTTCACTATCTTCTGGTAGAGTTGGAGGAACAGGAACTTCAGTTCTTGTGAATGATTCAGCTGGTTGTTTTGGAGAACAACCAGTGATTTGAATTGATCCATTAGCTGGTAGTTGTCCATTGTTTGAGACATCTGCAGCTTCATGATTTTTGTTGGTGTTGGGAAGGCAGCTTGGAGCCTTTCCAGTTATCTTTTCTTTCCCAGATGATTCTCCTTCTACCATTTTGTTGGCATAGGAGTGATTTTCAAAGGCCACATGAATTGATTCTTCTACTACCAGAGTTCTTTTGTTGAAGATTCTGAAAGCCTTACTATTTGTTGAGTAGCCCAAGAAGATCCCTTCATTTGATTTTGGATCAAATGATTTGAGATAGTCTTTTCCATTGTTTAGAATAAAACATTTGCATCCGAATTCATGGAAATAATTGATGTTTGGCTTTCTTTCTTTCCATAGCTCATATGGAGTCTTCTTGTAAGTCTTATGAATAAGACTTCTGTTCTGGGTGTAGCAGGCTGTGTTTATTGCTTCTGCCCAAAATCTTTTGGGTAGACCGGCTGCTTCAATCATGGTCCTTCCAGCTTCCTTGAGTGTTCTGTTCCTTCTTTCAGCAACACCATTTTGTTGAGGTGTTCTTGCTGCTGATGTTTGGTGATGGATTCCGGATTCTTCACAGTACTGAATTACTGTTGAATTTAGAAATTCAGTACCTCTATCTGACCGGATCTTTTGTATTGAGATGCTTTTTTCATTCTGAAGGAGTTTCATCAGTTCTGGGAGCTTCTTCTCAGTTTCACTCTTCTTTTTCATGAATAGGGTCCATGTGAATCTGGAATAATCATCTACCACAACCAGAGTGTATCTTTTGCCACTTAAACTTGTTGGGTCAATTGGTCCAAACAAGTCAAGGTGCAGTAGGCTCAATGGTCTGGTTGATGATGCATCATTTTTGTTTTTAAAGGGTACTTTTGTTTGTTTCCCTTTTTGACATGCATTACACAGATGATCCTTTTTGTAATTGATATCTGGAAGACCAATCACCAATCCTTTTTTGGACAGTTTGTTGATGGTTTTGAAGTTGAGATGGCTGAGCTTGTTATGCCATTCCCAACTTAGATCTGAATCAGCTTTTGTTACTAAGCAGATTCCTTCCTTTGCAGTTTTCCAGTCAACAATATACATGTCCTTTCTTCTTCTCCCAGTGAGCACAATTTCATTATTTTTGACATCTCTGATCAAGCAGATGTCTTTGGAGAATGTTACATTATAGCCATTGTCACAAAGCTGGCTTGTGCTTATTAAATTGAACTTTAAACCCTTAACATAAGATATGTTTTGGATTATAAGTCCTCTTCTTACTAAGTCTCCAGCTCCTTTGGTTTCTCCTTTCCTTTCTTCATTCCCAAATGTTACTTTGGGTCCTTCCCTTGCCATGTAGTTTGACAGCAGCCTTTTGCTTCCTGTCATGTGCCTGGAGCAGCCTGAATCTATGTACCATTCTGTTGAATTAGCTGCTCCAGCACCCTCCTGTATTTATCAGTGTTGAGCAGCAGCCCACAAGTTAGTGGGCTTCCTTCCTTGAACAAGTTTAGGCATCCATGCCCATCTAGAACCATCTAATTCTAAGCAGACTGGTCTATATCCGTTTGAGGTGTTGTAGTTATATGGGATAGCTGTATAGATGTTTAGTTTCTTTCTCCTAGATGTAGGAGAAGAGAAGTTTCTTTTGGATGGAATTTGCTGCCTTTTTGGTTGGTAGTTGGTCTTATTGGTGAGTTGCCAACTTGTTTGTTTGATAGGAAAGTTTTGTTTGTACAGGTGTTTGGATTTTGGGTTGGGAGCAGACATGTTCCTTTTTGTGGGAATTGTTTGGGAGTTGAAGTGATGGTGGCTTTGTGTTGTTGTTTTGATGGTATAGTTTGTGGACAGTTTGTTTTCTGAGTACTTGGTGGGTGATTTGTATCCAAGACCTCTGTTCTTCTTTTTAAGGATAATCTCAGGAGTGTGATCAACATTTTCACTAGTCAGGCTGAGATTATTCATTTTTGTTTTTAGCTCAATGTTCTCTTCTGTCAAGCTAATGATTTTGGATAAGGCAACTAAGAGTTTATCATGAATATTCTTAGTGTCTTGTTTTAGTCTTTCATTTTCAGATCTTAAGAGAACTTGATGATTTTGGACCTTCTGAAAATCTTGAAGTAAAGATTCTAGTGTAATACTAGATGGTCCAAAATCATTTGAGCAATAGGAAGAACAGGAGGTTACCTCAACATCCTTGTCGTGGTTATCTGCCATGAGACATTTGAGTGAGTTATCCTGAGATGAACT